AGATAATTGTTTGCTGACTAGGATACAAGTGACATCACATACTTGAAAATCACAAATGTATTTTGGAAACTTTTACTCAGGTTCTTGGATTCTAGGGTGATTTCATTAGACTAACGGATATGGTTTTATGGTCCTGATATTTTATTATGACCAAACTATAAGAGGCTCTTAAATTATTATTTTCATGAGCTTCAAAGCCTTAGTACTGTTTTATGTGTGTAAAAAAATGCTAATGCCCACCAGCCACCTATGTTCGTTTACATCGTTTTTAAATTACATGATATGAATTCAGTGGCGTTACACATTCTGTTAAATCAAGCACCTACTTTTGCAATGATGTGTAAGTGATTTAGCTTTCAACCGTTAAAATGGTTCATTGGTTTTTTGATAGGTGGTGGTCATACAGCAGCAGCAATGGTGACCTCAGACTTTGGTTTCTGTGGCGATAGAGTGATTTGTTCGTCAATAACGGTTATATTAAAAAAGTTTTTTTTTATGGGAAGTGCTTCAGAAAACCATAGTTTCATGAATTTGAGGTTATGAAAAGTTGACCGATTGTTGGGGGTATTTTTAAATATGTGTGAATAGGTATTACAATCGTTATATGAAACCATGTTAGAATAAAGAGGTAAGGTAGAGCTACCTTTTAAGTGTAGTTATTCAGTTTAAAGGCTTGATTTCTCAAGATAATCGAGAAATGTACTACATCTTTTTTACTTAAAATTCAAATAATTCTTGATTCGTAACATTATTAGAGAATTCCATTTGTAATTCAAATTATTTCAGTTGCAATTCAATTGTTTCACTTGTAATACTATTATTCCAATTGTAGTTCCATTCCATTTGATTCCATTTGTATTTCGACTTATTCGGGTTTTAATTTGAATTATCCCATTTTTAATTCGAATTATTCCAAATGTAATTCGAATCTTTCCATTTGTAATTCAAATTATTATAATTTTTTTTAAATGGAATACATCGAATTACAATTGGAATAATTCGAATTACACATGGAATCATTTAAACTACTACTCGAATTCTAGAATTAAAACTGAAATAATTCGAATTACAATTGGAATTTTCGAATTTTAACTGAAATAATTCGAATTACAATTGGAATTCTCAAATTACAAATTAAACTCTTCAAATTACATTTTTAAATTTTTTTTTTTTCAATTCCAAAACTTTTTATTCGCATATTTTTATACCCTCCACTATTCTATGGAGCGTATATTAACATTGTCATTCCGTTTATAACTCCTCGAAATATTCATAATAGACCCTACAAAGTATATATATTCTGGCTCAGCGTAAACTTCTAAGACGATCGAGCGATGTTCATCTGTCTGTCTGTCCGCATGTCTGTAGTAATTCCGCTCTGTTTCGGATGAATTGAGATAGAAGCCTAAAATTGTGCATAAATGCATAGTTTACCAGTAGGTAGGTTAATTTGGTAAGGCCTACGTTTTTGTATAGCCTCTATATAACGGTACCACCCGATATTCGGTATTTTCATGATTTGTCGTTAAAATTATTTACTGGAATTATTTCGAATTTCGTATCTGAAGTTCGTAATGGGTACTACAGCGTATTGCAAAATTTGTCATATGCAGGTTCACGTCAGACAGTCGGTATTTTGACGATTTCAGCAACATTATTCACCGGAATCTTTTCACATTGAAAGATCTTCAAGGGGCACTATATCTTATGGCAAAAAAATCGTATGCAGGTCCACGTCTTCGTATAGCCCTCAAATGACGGTACCTCCCAATACTTCTTATTTTCATGATTTTTGCGACATTATTCACCAAATTGTAACAAATTTCGTATTTAAAGTTCGTAATGGGCACTACAGACTATAAACAAAAAATTTATATGCAGGTCAACGTCTTCTTATAGTCCCCATATAACGGTTTTCAATTAAGTGGTAGTTTTCAGATTTTTTTTTTTTGAAAATGTTCAAGTTCTTTCCAAACGGTGGAGGGTATTAAAAGTTCAGCCCGGCCGAACGTAGCTTCTGTTTTACTTGTTTATTTTAAAAATGTTGAAACAATGGAAGAATTAAGTACATTTTACAACTTCACGTATTCCTTTAGTTTGACAATACTCCTCATATTATATAACATAAGGGCTAGGATTTCATACCTAAGTCATATAATACATTTGTTTTCTTTTAATCGGGTAAAAATTATGGAGTATTTTGTACTTTTAGAAAGTTTTTTTTTTGCATACATAGAGATATTAAGATCTCTAGCTCAACTCCAATGTCCCACACATGACCTAGCATTAACACTTTTGGTATTTCTTAGAAACCATGAGTACGAATGACAACGCCGAATACTTTTTATTTTGGTTAAAAAATTTCTCCATCCCCTCACCGGAGATAAGAAAACTACAACATAAAGCCAAAATTTTATGCTGTCAATGAATATTGAAACCACAACGACAGCTGGGCTCGTCGTAAAGGTGTGCTTATATTTTATGGCCTGTTAAAATAACCCCAAAAGCTTTTGTAATCACAGAGCAATCCTAAACAAAGAACAGTCATCAAAAAGACATTTAAAATCTAATAAAAGTCTAAGGTGTTGAAACATTGTTCATTTCTTGGGACATTTTCACGAAACAAAAAACAAAAGCCACACCTCGCATACATTCGTATCGTATGTACACGGTGAACATTTTAAAAGGACTAGGAAATACGAAGTTTGGGGAGGAGAGTTTATTTTTTTTAATGGTTTCGACTTACATTTCATTGACATTTTAACTTGATTTATCTTTCAAGTCAAGCGAAACAAAAGTAAAGAGATATTTTATCACCGGACAATAAAATTTAATTTGAATTTAAATTGAAGGTAAAAACGGAAATTCCAACTATGTTGGGAATAAGGTGCAGGTGTAGGTGTAGATACTACAGTGACAAACTATAAAAAATGAAACATATACAGAGAAAAGTTCTATTCTGTGGCATGCTTTTGTGATTCGAGAATAACTTAAAATTAAGTTAAGAAACAGAATTGAGCAGTGTAGCTAGCTTCTGGAAGGATAATGTCATAGGAGAGATTATTATCTTCACTGATAACCTATATGCTGAATTGACATTTACTTCTACTTTACGTAAAATTAAAGATTTCAAATCGGAAGGAAATGTTGTGAAGGTGTCAAAAATGTGGCATTTTTAGTGAATGATTTTTACTCTGGCTGCACAAGGCTATAGATTTTCATTAAGTTCAAACCAAGGTCTTGTCTTTAGGGTCAGTCTCATATACCCTCACTCTTATAGTTTTTATACCCTACACCACAAAGTAGTAAGGGTATTACATCTTTGTGACTTTGTTTGTAACATGGGCAAGGAATCGAGTTTTTGATTAGTTTTGAGGATATTCATAGAATCACTTTCGGAGTCCATCCGTCCGTTCATGCATTCTTGTGGACAAAATGCATGTTGCATTTATTTATCATCTCAATTGATAAGATTTTACAAACAATATTTCTTTGGCCCAAGGACGAACCCTATTGATATTAGTGATTATCGGATCAGATTAAGATATAGCTCCCATATATCTTCAGCCGATTTCGGGTTAATTTTACACCAAATGGCCAACATCAGAATATTTGACATATCCGACAGAATTCATATAGTCCAGAAGCAAGTACATCAAATTTGGGGACAATCTGATCAGATATAGCTATAGCTCGCATATACAAGGTGAGATAAAAAAACTGCAACCAACTTCAGACTAATGTCATTCCTAAGCCACTCGTCCGACAGCTGTTATTCCAGTGACAGCTCATTATATTGTTTACAAGCGTACAAAAACATTTTGGCAAGAATTTTCCAGAAAAAAAGTTATTCGTGATGGAATTCAAGCGTGATAGTGTGATTTCTTTATATTTGGCTGGAAAACCACAAGCGGCTATCGTTAGAGCACTCCAGCATTTAAATGTGAATAGGCAATTTGTCTCTAGTACCGTCGCTCATTACCGTGATACTTGTAGCGTAGCCCGACGTTAAGGAAATAAATAGCAAAATTAGTAGAAATGGTTCGAAAAGTAAAGAAGCGACTTGATCGAAGCCCGCGTTGCAGTGCCCGAAAAATGGCTCGTGAGCTGAACAGATCGGGCAAAGCCATTGAAATTCCAAAAAGTGAAAGTACTTATACCGCAACAGAAAGAACATAGACTCAAAAGAGCTAAAGAGTTGCTTCGCTTGGCCGGAAGTGGTCAGCCAAAGGGGTCAGCTGAGGATGAGGTTTCTCGCTTCATTTTCGGCGCAAAATGACCACCAGAATCGCCGGATACCAATACCAATTGGACTATTGTGTCTGGAGTATTTTGGAAAGCAAGGTTGGCACTACCAAATACCAAAGTTTCGATCACCTCAAGCAAGCGCTTCGCCGGGAATGGGTCAAAATAAAGCAGAGCAACATTCGGGCAGCGTGTGACGGTTTTATGAAAAGATATGGCGTTTACCTTTTTGTTGCAGTTTTTGTATCTTACCCGGTATATATGTTGGCTCACTCGATCGGAACCTCCTCCATAAAGGGTCAACGCAAGGCAGAGGGCATTCATGTATTGGCAAACCGACAGATACATTTCAACTATTTTTATGGATTTCATATATTATAAAACAATTTAAACATCAGACCAAGCCTTTCCTGTTAACCCAATAAATTTCTTGCATTTCCTACGTGATTTACGTAAACCTATTACAGATACATCAAGTGGCATTCTTAAGTTCACAATAATTTCTCAATTCATTAGACACGATTCCACTTCATACTGTTACCGGCTATACCCGTTAAGATACTCTTCAGGGTGTTAATGGTATTATTGCTTAGAGTGATCTAAGTCTCTTAAGAGTGTGTCGTCATACCCACCCACTAACTTCCCCTCCATTCTAGCGGTGTTCTAAAACATCACGCTATTAGTATTTCCTGTAACATGGATACACATTGGACACACAGAACAACAAGGCAACGTTACTTCTATTCTCTACTTACCCTTGCACGGACAGAATCCTTTGCAGGCAATCCTTATGGATGTTGCATGTATGCAATTGTGATAATCCAATCTGCATAACGATGAATACGTTCTATTGTCGTTGCCACAAAGGAATGTGGGTTTTGCTACAGGACACGGTTTGCAATTGCTGTAGTATCCTCAACAAAAGCAGCAATCGTTCATTCGTTCGTACGTTTGTGTGTGTGTTAGTTAGTTGGATGGTTGGTTCATTCATTCATTTGCACAGCATTCATGACACATATCCGGAAGGTAAGAAGATATTAGAAACATTGGCACGAGAGCAGCGCCATCATCATCCAGGTATTTTGTTGAGGTTGACAGGGTTGACGGGTAGACAGATGGTTAGGTGGTTCGTTGCAGATTCCGAGAAGTAATTTTATTATCATGCAAAAAATGTGAGAAAGAGCAAAAGAGAACGAGAAGAAAAATAAATCATTAACTTAATTAGTTTTTGTTTTAATATTATTATTTTAATATAATTTCATTATGTGGTGTCATGGCGTCCGTTGTGGAATTTCTTATCATTTGCATGGATGCAAAGAAATTTCCAGAATTATAGAAACCACAATTCTATGAAGACATACAGATTTCGATTTCCTTAGAAAAATTGTGCTTCAAAAATCAAATATTGTAAGGTTTAAAATGATTATTTAGAGAAGCGTTTCTCTGTCTTTTTGCCAAAAGACAAATTCTGTCAGGTTAGTTTCACATTTTGTAAAAGTTATTATTTTTCTTCAAAACTATGACCTTTTGTGGTGGAGGTACCAAAAGGAGTTTACTGATATATATCATCTTCATTTTCTGGATCTTGTAATTGCAGAAAACATTATAATGTAGAAAAAGGGAATAATTTCATATTTTATAAATATTTTTGCTATGAAAATTTGTTCCCTTTGTGGGAGTGAAAATTAAAGCCGATCAATTTTGGTACCAGAAGGCGGGCTTATACAGGGTGAGATAAAAAAAACTGCAACCAACTTCTGACTGCTGCCATTTCTAAGCCACTCGTCCGACAGCTGTTAAAATTATTCCACTGACAGCTCATTATATTGTTTACAAGCGTATAAAAGCATTTTGGTGAGAATTTTCCAGAAAAAGAATTATACGTGATGGAATTCAAGCGTGAGAGTGTGACTTCTTTATATTTGGCTGAAAACCACAAGTGGCTATCTTTAGAGCACTGGTAGCGTAGTCCGACGTCAAGAAAGTGGACGGAAGAAAACAGCAACATCAGTAGAAATGGTTCGAAATGTAAGGAAGCGACTTGATCGAAACACGCGTCGCAGTGGCCGAAAAATGGCTCGTGAGCTGAACATATCGCAATATTCCATACCGTAAATATTAAAAAATGAGCTCGGGGTAATGCCACTGAAATTCCAAAAAGTGCAAGAACTACACCGCAATAGAAGGAAAATAGACTCAAAAGAGCTTAAGAGTTGCTTCGCTTGGCCGAAAGTGGTGAACTGCCGAATTTGGTTATCTCCGATGAGAAAACATTCTTTGTCCAGCTGTTTGTAAACAAACAAAATTATCGTATTTACTTGACACCTAAACTTCGGTTGGCCACCAAAACTAAAATCTAAACTTATTCTAAGATTTGATGCTTTCATTCAATAAAATTTAAAAAAAAGATGTAAAAATTATGGCTTTTGACTCCGATGCAGTTTTATTATTTTAGATTCGTTCCAACAGTTCGTGCTAGACCTTTTTGGTACTTTAAATGCACAATGAGTTCAGTTTGGCATTTTTTAATCAGAACTTTATAATTCGTACTAAATTTCTAGACTTTCAAGGTCTTGTATATTATTCAAGGTTTTCCTTTTACGGAAGAAACGATGAGAGAATGTTTACCTGTTTCACGAAAATGTATTTAAAATCTTTCATTATAATGTTTACCGATGAGGATATTAATAATTATTTCTACATCTTCATATGTAAACCCTGGAAACCAGCAGTATCCTTAATATTATTATTAATTATAGAAGGCATTTGCGAAACCACCACCAGATCTCAATACTACAAACGAACAGAGATCTCAATATCAAGGATCGGTATTTCATCCATTTCTCTTCGCCCAATACCTAACGTAGTACCACTTAGTACTTTTCGAACAACTATAGCACACATATCAAAAACCATTTCCATATCTAAACCACAGATATCAATAGTGACATCTATATTAATTAATTTGCTCCAATCCAAGATATCAACAGAGCCCAATCCTTCATACAATAGTAAATTTATTTCCAAATTTCAGGATTGCAGCTCTATCGCTTCGCTCAAATACAAATTGTACCAAATTTAGTACGAATTTCCACAACTTCCTACATACACCAATTCTACACTCTAACAGTAATCTTAATCCCAAATTTCAGGATTCCAGCTATAAATTGTACCAAATTTAGAACATACAAGTGCAAATTTCAAAACCAACTCCATATTCTAATCCTGCACTCCCACACTGAACTTAATTCCTAATTTCAGCATTCCAGCTCTATCGTTCGACCAACTCGAAACTGTACCAAACCACAAATACCAACATTTACTAATTTTCGTGCACATAAGTACAATTTTCGAAACCTACTTTCATATTTCAATTCTCTTCGCCGTCAATTTCGGCATTCCAGCTCCATCCGTTCCTCCAAATTAAAATTGTAACAAATTTAGTACTTCCAAAACTACCTCCTCACATCGACCCAACTCCTCAACCTTGAATCCCATTCCAAATTTTAAGTTTTTAGATTTTACCGTTTAATGATACGAAATGGTACTAGATACGGGTGAGATAAAAAACTGCAACAAAGTCAAACGCCATAATTTTTACATTTTTTTAATTTTATTGAATGAAAGCGACAAATGTCGGAAATAGCATCAAATTTTAGAATAAGTTTAGATTTGTTCGAATTGGTCACCTTTGGTACGAATTATGGACAATGAAACCGTCACTCGCTGCCCAAATGTTGCTCTGCGCTATTTTGGCCCATTCTCGCCGCAGCGCTTGCTTAAGGTTATCGACACTTTGGTATTTTGTAGCCCAACCTTGCTTTCCAAAATACTCCATACACAATAGTCCAACGGATTGGTATCCGGAGATTTTGGTGGCCATTGTGCGCTGGAGATGAAGCGAGGAACCTCATTTTGTAACCATTCTTGGGAGCGATGGTGCTGAGTCCTGTTACATTGTCCAAAATGTTTGCGTGCCCAAGGCTTTAATACACCCTCCAGAATATTTTCGCGATAATATTCGTCATTTATTCTGATGCCACTGTCGATTAATACAAGCGGATAGTGACCATCGGCTGTTATGGCGGCCCACCTCATCACCATGAGCGTCGCTTGAGTTCTGGTGGTCAACCGAAGGTGCACATTTTCAGCTGACCTCTTTGGTAAGTAAACACGATCATTTTGTTTGTTTACAAACTGCTGGACAATGAATGTTTTCTCATCAGAGAAAACCAAAATTCGGCAGTTCACCACTTTCGGCGAAGCGAAGCAATTCTTTAGCTCTTTTTAGTATATGTTCTTTCTGTTTGGAATTTCAATGGCTTCGCCCCGAGCTCACTTTTCAATATTGTTCAGCTCACGAGCCATTTTTGGCCATTGCGACGCGGATTTCGATCAAGTCGCTTCTTTATTTTTCGAACCATTTCTGCTGATGTTGCTGTTATCTTCCGTCCACTTCCTTGATGTCGGGCTACGCTACCAGTATGATGGTAACGAGCGAAGGTGCGAGACACAAAAGATTTATTCACATTTATTAATTTTAACAGCTCTCGGAATAATGGCTTAGAAGTGATAGCAGTCTGGAGTTGGTTGAGGATTTTTCATCTCACCTAGTTTCGTTCATTTCAGTACTTTTCGCAAATTTATAGTGCAAATTTGGTACACTTCATCAGTGTCCCCCGTTTCAAATTTAACAGTACTGGTTCGTCAAATACAAAGGACACCGTAGTTAGTACCTTTTAGGACTTTTCCTACCGTTCTTGTACGAAACCCAGCCCTAGCTGACACCTTCAGACCAAGAGTGACCCTCACCCAAAATTTCAAGATTCTTCCTTTTATTTGAATCTTTTTATCTAAATAAGACAATGCAGACCACAAAATAAGTTCTGTCAATGTTGAACATTTGTACGTTCGACGTATCGTGTGGTGAAAAATGTCAAAGATTTACGTCAAGTATTTAAATTTGAATACCCTGCACCATTTGGAACGAATTTGGCAATTCGCAAAAACAATAAAATCCGTTAAAAATTCTGTTAAAATCTTTAAAATACCGAATGTAGCTGTTACATTAGGGTCGACGACATGGACCTGCATGGGTAACTTTTGTAATAAACCATTATAATATTCAAATGCGAAATTTAAAATAAAAAAATCGGTGAATAATGCAGCTAAAATCGTCAAAATACCGAATATCGTGAGGTACCGTTTTATGGGGGCTATACGAAGACGTGAACAGGCACAGACAGTTTTCTGTTATAGATTGTAGTATCCATTACGAACTTCAAATTCCGGTGAATAATGACGCTAAAATCATCAAAATACCGAATTTTGGGAGGTACTGTTATATGGGGGCTATACGAAGTCGTAGACCTGCACAGACAATTTTCTGTCATAGGATGTAGTATTCACTACGAACATCAAATGCCAAATTTGAAAAAATTCCGGTGAATAATATCGCTAAAATCAACAAAGTACCGAATATCGGGAGGTAAAGTTATATGGGGGCTATACCAAAACGTGGACCTACATGGTCCATTTTTAATTCCAAAAGTCCTGCAAAGTGAAATATTATCAATCTACTTCAATTAGTTTGGAAGCTAGAGTAATTTCTACAGACGGACAAACTGACGGACAGACTTAATCGACATGGACTTTTATGCTGATCAAGAATATATATACTTTGTGGGGTTTAAAATGTATATTTCTAGGTGTTACAAACGGAATGACAAACTTAATGTACCCTCCATAATTTGATGGAGGGTATAAAAATTAAGAAACGTAATAACTTGATCGAATAACAAATGAAATTCTCGAATTGCAATTAATATGAAATATTCAAAGTGCAATTCAAATACTTCAAAATGCATCTGTTGAATAGCTCTGTTACTTATTGATGAAATTAAT